GGGGGGGGGGGGTCCTCGCATTTGCGAACTTGCTGATTCCGCTTTTGCGAAGGCAGAGTCGCAATTGCGACTCAGCATAGTTCTTCACAGTCGTCGCATTTGCGAAGAAATGGTCTGCATTTGCGAGAGCTGGGGGTTCGCATTTGCGACCAAAAATATCGCATTTGCGATGACTGGGCTTCTGAGAGGAGTTCGTATTTGCGACCTCTTTCTCGCAATTGCGATATTCGCAATTGCCAATAATATATTGCAATTGCGACATCTGTAGTTCGGTAAAAACTAAGATAGACGAGATTTTTCTCATTCTTTTAAATTTTCAACCCTAAAAACCTTAGAGGCAATTTTTCAAGAGCTTTTCTTCCTCAACTCATTGGTAAGTGACTCTAACCTACTTTCATTTAATTACCCACTATATTTCATAAGATTTCAACCTTAAATCTAGGATTTTTATGGTAGAATTTGGGAATTTGGGTCGAATTAGGGATTTTTGTAAAATTAGAATTTAGACCTCGAATTGAGGTAGGATTTCGAAACAGATTATATAACCGGGCTCGGGGTTAAATGGGTAATCGAATTTTGGTTCGAACCTTGGATTTTGACTAAGCGATCCCGAGGTTGACATTTTTTGACTTTTAAAGAAAAGTGTAAAATTTCTATCTTTATGTATTGTAATTGATTCTCTTTATCATTATTTGAAGTTATCGAGTCGATTGTGGTTAGTTACGGTTGGTTTGGAGGCGGATTCTAGAGGAAAGGCTCCGGTAGAGCTCTGATTGACTGTGAAGTGACGTAAGTGTCGTGGTTAACTTTGACTTGAGGGATTAGGACTTGTTTGCCTATTTTCTACGTGTTTAAATGTGTGGGTACAACGTATATTTGAGGTGACGAGTTACTATGCGTTATTGTTGGGTTAAAACATGCGGGTGGGACTTGTTTCCTTGTAAGTTATTATCTTCTTTGATTATGATATCCATGCTTAGACTAGTTTATTACTTAATTGATCGTTCTTTCCGAATTTATGAACTATTTGTGATGATTGAGTATTTTTGGAAGTTGAGGTTCGGTATTTTTGGAATCGTTGTGGACGTAAATTTTTTTCTTGCTTATCCTATCTTCCAAATATTTATATTCATTGCTACATGGTAAGGGAGAGTGATAAAGCACGAAGGGTGATGTCGTGTCATTTATTGCTTCATTTACTGATTAATACATGGTGAGAAAGAGAGTTAAAGCATGAAGAGTGATATCGTGTCGTATTTATCGTTTCATGGAGAGGTTAAAAGTAAAATCACGAAGGGTGATGCCGTGCCATTATTATTATTTCATGGTGAGGCTGAGAGTAAAAGCACTATGGGTGATATCGTGCCATCTTTATTCATTATGTTTATCCGTTTTCATTGGTTGATGGTTTATTTGACCGTCTGATGTTGTCATTTCCTGTTGTAGTTGTCGTACCTTGTACCCATTTCGCCTCTTCCCTCCCAATAGTACGTGTTTAATCTCTATTTGTTGTTATGTTACACGTATATCTTCGTTTATACAGGTTTAATTGCATGTGTGTCCTATTATAGCCCCGTCACTACCTTGTCGAGATTAGGCTCTACACTTACGGAGTACATTGGGTCGATTGTACTCATACTACAATGTGCACTTCTTGAGCAGATTTTGGTACTGGTCCCAGCTGTACGTGAGGTGCATCAGCTTAGATTGGCCTATTTGGAGACTCAAGGTAGATCTGCTAGCGTCCGCAGACCTTGAAGTCCCCTTCCCCTTTCCTTATTTTCTGTTCATTTCATTTGAAACAGTTGTATTTATTTCAGGCTCTATGTGTAGAACCTTTAGAAGCTCGTGAACTTGTAACTCCAGATCTGGGTTGTATTTAGATATGCTGGTTATTACGCTACTTCACACTTCATTTTAGTTTTATCTCAGTTTAGTTGGTTTATTTATTTGAACTGTTTAAAAATGGTTTAAGAATTTCTCTAACCACTACTAGAAATTCGGGGAAAACCGTCCAAAAAATCGACCAAAGTAGGTCGATAATGGCCAATAACCGTCCAAAACGCGACCATTAATGTGTGGTTGGTATTTTGAAGGTCGGAAGGGCATATCGACCAAAGTTGGTCGGAAATTACCGACCAACTTTGGTCGGTCAATTAAATTCAAAAAATAAATTACCGAAAAAACCGACCAAAGTTGGTCGGTATTTTAATTATGTAATTAAAAAATGCACCATCTGGGAATCGAACTGGGGTCTGTACTGTGGCAGGATACTATTCTATCACTAGACCATTAGTGCATTTTTTAAGACTGTCTTTTATTTCATTTATACTCTTTAATTGTATTTTCGCACGAAAATAACCGACCTAAAATTACCGACCGAATTCGGTCGGTTTTTTAAAATGACCGGTCGAATTAACCGACCGATTGCGGTCGGTTTTTTAATATTTATTTTAATTTATTTTAAATAAAAAACCAAATAAAGTTGGTCGGTTTCTTGAAAAATAAATTTCGCGGGACTCAAAAATAGTTTCCCGCATTTTTGCGCCAAAGAAAGCTGACCAAAGTTGGTCGGTTTCATAAAAAAATAATTAAAAATAAAATATTTTGAAAAATCGACTGACTGGTCGGTTTTTTGGCCGGTTTTTTGACCGGCCGCGGTCGGTTTTTGCCGAATTTCTAGTAGTGAACGTTAGCTTGTCTAGCGAGTGAAATGTTAGGTGTCATCACTGTCCCGAAGGTAAAAATTCCGGGTCGTGGCATCTTTCATGTGTCCTTTATTCATCACATTTTTAATAATAAAAATATCTAGAGAAGTTTTGCCAAACTCCTACACAAGTATGCATGGTATCATACTCTAACTTCTACTTGTGACTCTTGCATGACGTTTTTTAAAAGATACTCAAATTAATTGAACCGTACCAATACCGAAACGAAATCGAGATGACAAAAACGGTTTCGAAAAGTCTAATTTTAATTATACAAATAAAATAACCGAAAAATTGATATCGTATAAATTTTATTTTATATATAATCGGCCTAACCGAACGATTAACCCTCCTACTTACCACCTCAAAGTTTTTGGTCAAAATTAAGTTGGTGAAAAATAAGGTGAAGACTACGAAGGGTCAAGAAGAAGGATAGATTTCATGCAAATGTGAAAACAATACTACAATCTTATAGAGTAGTAACAATTCAAAGCGCAATATATATTGAAAAAAATAATCGCTATAAATCGTTTAAATTTTCTCTTTTTCTATAATTATTATTTTTAGAGAAGAAAAGGCAAAATACAGTTTATGATATTATTAAACTTCAGTTTGATCTCGAAAATGAAAAGTATATAACGCTATACTAGCAGCCAACCAGAATTCTAGATGTTTGAAGTCACCTATTCCCATACAGTTTTTCCAATACCGTCGGCATAGCGTTGTGGTTTTTGTCATTTTGAAGTTTGAACATTCCCATTCTGACTCGCTCCTTTTTCATATATTGAATGAATGAGGGAATCCTCAATTCTCGTCTTCTTTTTATACCTTCTTTCTCGCACTTAACTCCTAACTATCCATTTTATTTTTCCCATTTCATTCTTACAGTTAGAACCAAAAACCAATCTTGGATTTTTTTTGGGTTGAACACAACTTCTGCTGCAAATTAAAAATACAAACTTTGAACTTTTTTTGGACTCACCATTGAAGTAGTGTTAATATAACTGGTAGATCAGATGGGGATAGAGAGTAAATACCAAATGAAGGTGGTAGAAGGAGATAATGGCTACGTACTTGAAGATGTCCCTCACTTGACTGATTACATCCCTCATCTTCCCGTACTTACTTTCTTTTCTCCTCTTTTAGTTTTTTGTTTTCTAACTATGAAAATCTATCATTTCTGTATTTGTTTGGTTGCTGCACTTTTGAGTCTTGATAATGTCTATTCAATGGCTTTTGTTAAAATGGCTGCTTTATTTGTATGTCTTTCTGCTTCAGGGGGATCCGTTGATTTGTGGAATTATTACATGTTATAATGTTTCTTTTTGAGTTGATCTACCTTTTATTGCAAGCTTTGATCTGCTTACACTATGCCATAAACATATACTAATGTTGAAATGAAAAGCCTGCACCTTTAACTTTTTTACTATCATTGCACTCTTTAGTTCCCCCCCCCCCGGAATAACAGTCATGAAT